TAAACTATATTTTAGAGCAGTGGTTCTCAACCTGTGGGTCCCCAGATGTTTTGGCCTTCAACTCCCAGAAATCCTAACAACTGGTAAACTGGCTGGGATTTCTGGGAGTTGAAGGTCAAAACACCTGGCGACCCACAGGTTGAGAACCACTGTTTTAGAGGAAGAAACTGGCAAAACCACCTCTGAGTATTTCTTCCCTAAGAAAACCCTATGAAATGTATGGATTTGCCGTAAGTTAATAGGTGATTTAAAACAGACACACACACACACATTATGCTGAATAGGATCAGAGTTAATGTTATCCATGCAGCATTACAGAAGTAATCACATATCTTTACAATCTTAAAATAAGGTAAAATTATCTGTAATCAAGTAAATAAGTTTATTTATTTATTTATCGTGTCATCAGCAACCATTTTATTACAATTCTAGCAGAGCAAAACAAAGTAAATAAGTTATACATTCATATTGTAAACTATGCTCATATCCCAGATCTTAATCTCATAATCAGTTAAATTACCTCCAGTACTGAATTGCTAACTACAAGATTTAAAGCACGATGGAAAGCAATATCTAAGTCTTATTTATAAGAACAGCTGGATAGAAATTTTGTTTGTTAACTGCAGCAGATCTAGGACATGTTAATACAAATTATGGCATGCTAATTGTAAGGTCCCATGTTTAAAACATGTGCCCAGTCAGAATTATATTTGAATGTCCAACAGAACAATAGCATAGGGTTTTTGCATTATATTCTATGCAATCCATGCTATGTATATTTTGTAAGTTGTACTGAATCCAGTGGAATTTGCTGCTGAGCAAGTGTACACTGGACTACCACATCTTCTGCATGTCTACTCAGAAGTCAGTTTTACAGAGTTCAGTGAGATTTACTCTCAGGAAATTGTAATTAAGTTACTTACTTATGAGCCTTGCAGGTCTACACACAGCAATCTGCTATTGCTAAGCAAGAGAGACTGGATTCATTGTATAAGAAAGTTTCAGATTTGAATGATGTTATCTACCCACAGTCACTTTGTAATTCTTGTTGCAACTTTTTAGCCTGAACATTTATTCCACTGTTTGTGATTCAACACAGACATCACTACAACATGATTGTAGCATATTGTGTCCTTCAGCTGATAAGAAATACCAGACACTGGGCATATTTGTGATGTTACAGCTTCAGAAGAGAGCTAGCTGCTATAGCACTATAATGCCTTGAAGTGGGTTTAAATACAAAAACACAAATACTTAGTACCTCATTGATCCAAGTATTCATATATGTCACACCAAGGCCCCTTTCATGCAGCCCCTATATCCCAAATTATCCCAGAATATCTGGCAGTGGAGACTCATATAATCCAGTTTAAAGCAGATAATCTGGGATCGGATCCTGGGATATAGGGCAGTGTAGAAGGGACCAAGAAAACACCCATTCCTTACAAGAATGGGAATAGGAAGCTGAATAGTTGCAGTTCCCCTCCTATCTGTCTGGCTGCAAATCATCAGCCCTAATTGCCAAATTATGGCTCTTTCTTTCAAAGTTTGTGTTTCTGTTTTTCTTGATTTTGTTAAGAAGGAATTTGTGTCAAAGCAAGTAGTGTCCTTATGTGAGTTTCTAGATGAAGCACACATTCTCATTCTGAAACGACAGTGCATGTGCTAATAATTATTGTCATTGTTATTATTTTGCACTGTTGAGGTCCCTGAAATAAAGGGCACACACTTCAAGAGGAAAGCCACTGTTGGAGCTTGAAAGTAGAGTTTACTGTCCCTAAATGTGGCTCCTCAAGTGTTAGAAGAAAGATTACATGTCTGACAGAGAAACCAGTCTGCCCAACATGATCTACTTGACCAAATGTACAGTCAGCTCTCTGCATTCATTGGAGTTAGGGGTACAAGACACATGCAAAATTAGTCTCTAGGAATATCTAGGTCTTCCAGAAGGACTCTATGGTCTACTTTCCTTGGAAGCTGACCATACAAGTGCATTGTGGCACTTAAGACATTCTTAAGGATCTGTCAACCATCCAATATGGCTGAAGAAAGACTGGAGGAAGTTCAATTTAAAGCTGCCATAGGCAAACCTGGGCCCTCCAGGTATTTTGGCCTCCAACTCCCATGATTCCTAACAGCCTCGGGCCCTCTCCTTTTACCCCTCAGCCACTTAAGCTGCTTGAGGGGGAAAAGGAAAGGGTCTGAGGCTGCTAGGAATGGTGGGAGTTGGAGTCCAAAACACCTGGAGGGCCCAAGTTTGCCCATGGCTGCTTTAGAATCATGTTGGAGGACCTAGAAATTCTTAGAGAGAATCAAATCTGTGCATAATCAGAGTCAAAACCACAAATAGTTTTGAAACATTGAAGCTCAGCAAAGAAACAAAGTAAGGAGAGTTTCGATAGGGGAAAAAAACTTTCTCATTTCCTCTTTCCAAACAACAAATAGAAAACACTAATTTTGTGTAAAGATGTTTGAGTGGGACAATAGTGAGTGGGAGAAACTGCAAGAACAATAATTGTATTATGTGTTGCCGAAGACTTTCATGGCTGGAATCACTAGGTTGTTTTAAGTTTTTAATTGTAAAACTATAGGCGTGTCTACACAGTACAATGAAATCACTTTGCTACCATTTTACCCATCCTGGCTCACTGCTATGGGATCCTGGGAGTTGTGGTTTTACAAGGTCTTTCACCTCCTCTGCCAGAGTGCTGCTGCCTTGTCAAATGACACCTTTCAGGATTCCGTAGCATTGAACCATGGCAGTTCAAGTGGTGTCAACATGCATTCAACGTATTGTGAAGATGCACCCTAGGCGAGGACAAGATAATATATTTCCACTGTGCTGGAACTAATGGTGTGGAGAGATTGCTTAGGTAAGGTGCTTAGGGGAAGAAGAAAAACAAATGCAAGGTCTTGTTGAAGGCTTTCACTGCATTGCTGTGAGTTTTCTGGGCTGTATGGCCATGTTCCAGAAGCATTCTCTCCTGACATTTTGCCCACATCTATGGCAGGCATCCTCAGAGGTGGCACAATGGGTTAAACCCTTGTGGGTAGGATTGCTGACTGAAAGGTCAGCAGTTCAAATCCAGGGAGTGGGGTGAGCTCCTGTCTATCAGCTCCAGCTTCCCATGCAGGGACAAGAGAGAAGCCTCCCACAGGATGGCAAAACATCCTGGCATCACTTGGGAAACATCCTTGCAAACAGCCAATTCTCTCACACCAGAAGTGACTTGCAGTTTCTCAAATCGCTCCTTACACATACAAAAATTCCTCAGAGGTTGAGGGGTCTGTTGGACACTAGGCAAGTGAAGTTTAGATATCTGTGGAATGCCCACAGTGGGAGAAAGACTCTTCTTCAAAGATATATACACCTCACTTACCTAGTTTCTAACAGACTCCTGAACATCTGAGGATGCCTGCCATAGGTGTAGGCAAAACATCAGGAGAGAATGCTTCTAGAACATGGCCATACACAGCCCAGAAAACTCACAACCCAAGAGTAAAGTCATTGATTAATGTTGCCAGTAACACTGAAATGTCTTCAGCTGACTCTTCCCTGCCAGGCTTTCTATTCAGGCACTTTTGAAGAGAGCAGTTTTTAAGGAGCCATGGGGTGCTGTTTAGTGATTTAAGTATTTTCATAGTATTGATGGCTTTAACGGTTTATTTTTAACTAGCTGTCCCCTGCCATGCGTTGCTGTGGCCCAGTCTGTGAATATGTGTTTTGTGTGTGTGTGTATATATATGTGTGTGTGTACTTACTTGGGCGATCCCTCCTTGTCTGAGTAAGATTGTCCTCCAAGTTCGGTGTTTGTGTCTATGTGTATATATGTGCATTTGTGTATATATGTGTGTTTTTGTGCATGCACTGTAATGCTTTTTTTGTTTTTTGGCTTTTTAAGTCTCTTCTGCTGTTTTTTTTTTCTCAGTATCCTTTAGAGGGATGGTCACTTGTTGGCCTGACAGGTGTATTGTGTCCGAATTTGGTCTCAATTCATCCAGTGGTTTTTGAGTTATGTTAATCCCACAAACGAACATTATATTTTTATTTAGATAAACAGTTCTATGTTCAATTCTATTTTAGAGTTTATATGTTGCAAGTTAGCTGCTTTGAGTGTCTTTGGATAGAAGAAAATGGGATGAAGATAACAATAATAATAATGTGTGAAGACCACGTGCTATTATGATTTTTTTTTCCTCCTTTCTCGGTGACTTTTCCTTCCTTGCGGAAGTGGAGCAAGTCCCCATCCCCCGCTTTCCCCTTCCCCTCACATAACGGAAAGCACTCATCTCTCTCTCTCTCCTTCTCTCTCCGCCCGTTGTGTAGTATAGTCTCACCCCACAGCCGCCTCCTTCTCACTCGTGCGTGGACACACCCACCTACCCATCCAGCCGCACGCGCTCCCTCTCCCTCTCTCTCTCTCACACACACACACAAGGGAGGAGGGAGGAAGAGTGAGGGAGAGAAAGTGGGCGGGGACATGCAAATTCAGGCGGGACGAGGCCCTCTCCGCCGCTGCCCCCCTCCCCTCTCCTCCCCTCCCTATTCCCGGCTCCTTTGGAGAAAGTTTGTGTAAATTGGAATGAGGTCAGATTTGGAGCTTCTCATTGCACGCGGTGATTATTATGGCCTCGGGTTCCAAGCCAATGGGGGCCCGGGGGGCGGGGCTTGGCACGGCGGAGCGTTGGATACAGCCTCTGATTGGCCCGCGGAATGTCGGTGGCAGGATAAAGAAGCGCGGGGCCGGACGGGGCCCTCGCTCGAAGCTGCGGCGCGAGAGGCGCGGAAGGGGGCGTGTTGCGGCGCGCGCTCTCGTCCTCTCTATCTCCCTCTCTCAAGCGCCAGGGGGAGGGAGGGAAAGCAGGGCTAAGCAAAGGGGAGAGCGAGCGAGCGAGCCCCCCGCTTCGTACATGTCTCTTCCCCCTCTCTCTGGGGCCGCGCATCCTCGGAAGGAAGACGAGACGGGACGGAGCTGCCCCTTCCTTGCCCCCGACCCCGCGCTCATGTTCCCGGGCTGAAATGGCCGGAAGGGCGCTCTCCCCCCCGTGCAAAACCACGCCGCCGCCGCCGCTCCTGCTGCTTGCCGCCGAGTCACAAACTCCTCCTGAACACTTCTTGCCACGAGTCTGGGACTGAGGAGGACACTTTCTGTGATAGTTGGAGTGACTTTTTATTTTGCGGGAGGTGGGTATCCTCTCTCTATATATCTATATCTTTGAACTAGAGACTTGAGGAGAGAGTAACGGAGGGAGAGAAAGAAAGACTGTGTGTGTATCTATATATATATATAATACCCATCTCGCTGTTTGACCGAGTGGGCGTGAACTGAGCGTTTTTCCAGAGAAAGAGAAGACAACTTGGCTTGGTTGGACGGGAAGAGCAGAAGAGTGCAAAATACACACACATACACACACACACACAGAGGGTACTTGGAGCGGAGTTGTTTCCCTTTCGGGGCGTTTGGCTCCCCAAAGTTGCCCAGAGCGGCGGAGAGGAGAGAAGCGTGGGGAGCGGCGGGGCTGGGGCCCTAGGGCCGGGCTCGCCCCCCGCCGCCGCCGCCGCCGCCGCGATGGTGCAGCAGACGGGCAACGCGGAGCCCAACGCGGAGGCGCTGCAGCTGCTGGCGCCCGGGGAGAGCGCCGCCTCGGAGTCGGGGCTGGAGCTGCTGGGCCCGGCCTCCTCCCCCACGCCGGCCTCCTCGGCCTCGACGGGCGGCAAGGCGGACGACCCGAGCTGGTGCAAGACGCCCAGCGGGCACATCAAGCGCCCCATGAACGCCTTCATGGTGTGGTCGCAGATCGAGCGGCGCAAGATCATGGAGCAGTCGCCGGACATGCACAACGCGGAGATCTCTAAGCGGCTGGGCAAGCGCTGGAAGCTGCTCAAGGACGGCGACAAGATCCCCTTCATCCGCGAGGCCGAGCGCCTCCGCCTCAAGCACATGGCCGACTACCCGGACTACAAGTACCGGCCCCGGAAGAAGGTCAAGGCCGGGGGGAGCGGCGCGGGCAAGCCCGGCGAGAAGGGCCCTCCGGGAGCGGCGCCCGGGCCCAACAGCTCCTCCTCGCCCTCCTCCTCGTCGCCCTCCTCCAAAGCGGGGCTGAAGAAGAGCGCCAGGCCGCAGCCCAAGCTCAAAGCCTCGGAGGCGCTGCCTCCCTCCTCCTCCTCCTCGGAGAGCGGCGGGAAGAAGGCCAGCAGCAAGCGCCCCCCTTTGGCGGCCCACGCCTCCCCGGTGCCCTCCAGCCCCACGCTGGGCGCCGACACCAGCGACCCGCTGAGCCTCTACGAGGAGGGCGTGGGCGTGGGGCTGCTGGCGGGGCCGGGCTCCCCTCGGGGCGGCTGCTCCCCGCCGGACCACCGCAGCTACGCCAGCCTGAGGGCCCCCTCGCCAGCGCCCTCCTCCTCGCTCTCCTCCTCGGGCTCCTCTTCCTCCTCCGCCTCCTCCTCCTCTTCTTCCTCGGACGACGACGAGCTGGAGGACGACCTGCTGGACCTGCACCCGAGCCCGGGCTTCGAGGACATGGCCCTGGGCGGCCTGGGCGCTTCGGCCGTCCTCGACCGGGACCTGGATTTGAACTTGGAGCCCGGCTCCGGCTCGCACTTCGAGTTCCCGGACTATTGCACGCCGGAGGTCAGCGAGATGATCTCCGGGGACTGGCTCGAGTCCAGCATTTCCAACCTGGTCTTCACGTATTGAGGGAATGAGGCGAAGAAGAAATTGGGGGGAAGCAGAGACAGGCAACCCTTCCCCCACGCCCTCCTTTTGACAGACTGGGAGCCACGGGCGTCACGGTCGCGCGTGTCCAAGTGAGTGTCCGTATGTGTGTGAGTGTGTGTTTTCCCCACATCTTTCGTGACAAACGGACTCGGGGAATGTGTGTCTTTTTTTGAACGACGAAAGGGATCAACCTTCTTTTTTTAAAGTGGGGCTCTTTTCCCCCTCTGCCCAGATGAAACAGATCCCCATCGAGGCCTCCCACGCTCTTCTTTTCCCCCTCATCCTTTCCCACAGCCGAAGAATGACTTCCACGTTTCCAGAGACTCAAGTGGCTTCAAAGAAGCATTGCAACTACAGATCTTTTTTTGTGTGGGGGAGGGGAGGGGGGTGTTTGAAAATCACGCACATCTCTGAGAAAAGGTTTGTTTGGGGGCGGGGAATAGATTGTGCTTCTGTACATTTACATGTCTCTTTTGGGGTCCGGGTGGGAGTTTTGTGGGGTTGGGGGTGGGGGGAGGAATTGGTTAAATCTGTTTCAAACCAATCTGCAAGACTTGCATTGGGAGGGAGGGAGTCCTGATTCGCTTTTCTGGGGGAGGGAGTCTTGTATCTTGAGGCGAGTTCAGAGGGAAAGAGAGAGAGAGGCCCTGGGACTGACATTCCTTCCTGGGATGTGATAGTGAAGAGGAAGCTGGGAAAATTGAACTGGAAGCTCAGCTAAAATGATAATAAAGGATTTGCACGCATCAAGGTGAAGCTGGCAGCTGTTTTCTGAAGTCCACCTGATATTCTAGACTGAGAAATCAGTATGTGTGGAACTTCAAACACAGTAGACCATGCCAAGGCTGTATACTATATACTAGAGCATACCAAGTGTCTGTCTGGATTGTGGTACAGGGGGAAGTAGAAGGCGAAGGCTCTTCCTTTGCGACAAAAAAAAATGTGTTTTTCTTACTCCGAATCGTGATGGTGTTGGATTATTTCACTGGTGGGGTTTTTAATATAGCATGTTCTACTCTTCTATCTTTCTGTTAAAACTGTTGAACAGTTGTTTTTTTTAAAAAAATAAAATAAAAATAGTGTTAGAATAATATAAGAAGCAGATAGATGGCGCTATGTTTGATTCCTACAAAGATTATCACCAGCTTTTTTCCTCCTTCTTAACTCTTTAAAGGATTCAAACGCAACTCAAATCTGTGCTGGAGTTTGTTTGTTTTTTTTAAAAAAGAAGAAATATTCAGGACCAAATTTTTCCTCAGTGTCTGTGTGATTGTGTGTGCGTGCGTGTCCCTCTATAGTTGTCAATGAAGATGCTTTACTTTTCACACCATGATCCATCCTTTAAAATGTTTATTTTTTTCCTTGTCCCCTTGTAAATGAAATCGGATGCCATTTTATAAGTGAAGTATTTATACTGGCCAAACGTTATTTTTACTTGTATTACTTTGTCCTTTTTGTTTTTTTTGTTTTGTTTGGGTAGTTCTGTTGTTGTTTCCCCCACCATTTTTATGTCACCTTCCCCTGAAGGGCTAGAGTTTTAACTTTTAATTTTTTATATTTAAATGTAGACTTTTGACACTTTTAAAAACCAGAGAAGAAGAGAGATGAAAACGTTTGATTATTTTCTCAGTGTATTTTTGTAAAAAATATATAAAGGGGTGTATAAAATTGCTGTTTTGGATTTCCTGATTTTAGACAGGGCTGCTGGTTAATCTCTCTCAGACACAAAATCAGCCCCCTACTTTCATCATGTTTACACTCCCAATCTGCAGGCTTCTTAAAGAGACAGCATCCCTTGTATTCGCTCTGTTGAGGAGCTGAGACAGAGAGAGAGGGATTAAACTCATTCACTGTAGGGCTAATTTCTAACCCCCCTCTCAAAGTAAATAGTATATTGTACAGTAACAACTGGAGTATTTTCGGAAGAAGAAAAAATAAAAGGGATCCTGTAGCTTTAACTTGTAAACCACATCTTTTGCACTTTTTTAAATAAGCAAAAACAAAAAAAACCTTTGCCGTTGAAATCACTGGATCTATCTAAATGCCGATTTGAGTTCGCGACACTATGTATTGCATTTTTTCATTCTTGTATTTGACTATTTAATCCTTTCTACTTGTCGCTAAATATAATTGTTTTAGTCTCTTATGGCATGATGATAGCATATGTATTCAGGTTTATAGCTGTTGTGTTTAAGATGAGAAAAAAAGAGTGAAAACATCTTTGTACATTTAAGTCTGTATTATAATAAGCAAAAAAAAAAAGATTGTGTGTTTATGTATGTTAATATAACATGACAGGCGCTAGGACATCTGCCTAACGAAGAAGAAGAGGTTCCGTTAAGGGTTTTTCTGTTCTGTTCTTTTCTTGGTCACCCATCCTGTGCAATATGTGGAATATCTTTGTTTAACAATCTGCCCATAACATGACAGGGTGGGGGGGAAGCTGGCTGATCACGCCAAGTTCACTGCCTGTCAGATTGTCAATATACTTTCTGTAAATAACCTCTTTCCCTCCCTCCCCCCAAGGAAATAAAATCAGCTGGAACTGAGCCCTAAAACTCTGCTGTTCTTGTTGTCATTGTTCCAGGTTGTCCCTTTTTGGGTCTCATTCTCTATTCCTGGTTGCTGCCAGTGGAAACATCTTTTGTGGTAATGCTTCTGACATGCAGAACTGTTAAAGCAGAAGCTCATCCTATTTCCCTGTCTCCCTCCCCTCCCATCAAAGCCCCTTTGTGCCTCTTTGAATGCCTGCTGCTGGCTGCATGCTATCTAGGAATTTGTGTGCATTAAGCGAATGCTAATAGCATTTTCACTGGAGGAATAAAAGGAGGGAGAGGGGAGGCAAGATGAGCTTAGCTACATTTAGTCAGAGGGAAAACCTTTGGTGCAGCACAACTACAAGGAATGTGATTTTAAACGGTTCTGCTGACCTAAACCATTTGTCCTCAATGTAAAAATCATGCCTGGCCCTTTCAGTGGTCTTCTGCTCTGGATTCTGCTTTGCATTGTAGGGTGTTCATCCATGCTGAATATGGATAAGGCACATGGTTTAAACATGCTTTTGTGATTCCCAGGCTTTTCCAACTGGAAAACACTTAAAAACATCCATACGCCAGAGCCCAGACATCTTAGGGTTCCTCCTTTGACAGTGTAGAAAGTGCCTTTTAAATGCTCTTAGTCTGGTGTGTTGCCAACATATTACCAACTCAATCATTCTCTCTCCTCTCACACATTGCAAATATGTATGTGGAAAAGGCATGGAAAACCAATTAGGACACAGCCTGTAAGGGAAAAATTATATTCATGCAACGGGAGGCTGGGGAAGGGAGGTGGAAACTGAAAAATAGTGTTCTCTAAGTTGGGTTCTTCCTCAAGATTACTTCACAGGCTAGCAGTTCCTTTGGCCTTCAGATAATCCTTTTTAAGCAGATGCGAAATATTAGGTCAGTGGGTGAAATGTTCAGTGCTGTGGCAGCTTTGACGAAGAAGCTTAGAATTTGCATTGCAGATCAGCATGATGGAAAATGCATACACAGGACCATGAATTCAAGCTTAGCCGTTAATTGCTCTGTAAATGTATTGACCTATAAATTGAAAATGCTGCTGACACACTAGGATTTTCAGAGAGAAAAAATATAAATGCCGATTTTTTAATTTTCTAAGTGAGATGAAGGCACACTGGGTTTTACAAATTCATGGGTCTCTCTTTTAACTTTGAAAACAGTCAGTTGGATTGTGGAACAAAATCTGTGGTCAGGAAAATAAAGAGATAGTAAGGAACAATGTCCCCATTTCAATAGTAAGTGTTTTAAATAACTATAAAAATGTGTGTTCATAAAATAGCAAAACAGAAGGAATAAAAATTGATGTCATACATTCAAAGATTCAGATTCAAATAAATATCACATTTTTGCAAATGCTCTGTTTACAGCAGATGTTGAGAGCAAAGGTTTCCATGGTCCTCTGGTGGACAGCTGGTCATGTTCTGGCAGGTCATCTAGCATTGGGGTTTTCAATGTGTGCCCGTGGGCATATGTTAGTCTCCCTATCCCTACTGAATACTTTTTCCAATTAGGAAACTGGCAGGCTGGTATACTGCAAAGTAAAGTGTTGGCCTCCAGCATTTTAATTCTTAGAAAGTAGTGTGTGACTGAGCTGCATTATGAATGTCTCCAATTGCCTAGAAAAAGGGGGAATGAGAGGAGGAGGAGTGCTCAGGGAACGAGAGGCATTGACAGAGGAAGTATTCTAGGAAGGTAACTTGGAGGGCCACTACTGGGCTGTGGAGGATTGCATAATAATTTCATCTCCTTTGCCTTTGGGAATGCATGTTTAACCTGAGTTGGAGGGTAGTTGAGACCTATTTTAAGTGTGACTTGTGTTCTGCTCGATTGTGGATGGAAGGTGTGTGGCTGCATATCTGACTATTATTACTTTTCTCCAATGAAAGGGGGTGGGGTGCTGCATATGCTCTTGGGAACAAAAATATGGTTTGGCATTTAGAACTGAGAACCCACATCTGTCTTGCACTCACAATCTTAGTTGAATTTACTGTCTTTGAGCACCATCCTTTTGCCATCCGGACCACAAAACTGCAATCAAGGTAACAATTTCATGCTTTGGAGCTCATCTCTCACCACAGCCTTGCACTTGGGCATCATCAGTTGTCTTCTAGGTAGGTAATCAGTGTTTTTGTGACCGGTCACAACTACTTTAACAACCATTTTGTGAATAGGCAAGCATCCTACACTATTATGGAAGTCATTATGATAGCAGCTATATCACACTCAGAATCAGACTTTGAAAAGATCTCAAGAGCCATCCAGTCCAACCCCCTGCCATACAAGAATACCCAAAACACTCCTGTCAAGTGGCCATTCAGCTTCTGTTTAGAAACCTCCAGAGAAGGAGCTCTACCACACTCCCAAGCAGTATATTCCACTATTGAACAACTCATAAACATTAGGACTAACTTTCTGACCATATGTATGAGCTGTTCAATAGTGGAATATACTGCTTGGGAGGGTGGTGAAGCTCCTCCTTTGGAGGTTTCTAAACAGAAGGTGGAATTGCTTTTCCTGTAAATWTAATATATTTCTCTGTATCTTATGACACATCTGCACTGACTACTTAGAGTGAAGGGTGGCCAAATCATCTCCATGCTGCACAGAGTTCATCCAGGTTAACTCGGAGCAAAACTGCTTAGCACATTAACAAAAATTGTGGGTTGCTCAAAATTCTGCCCCAGAATCTGGAGCAGCACATGATTTTGGGCACATGTAAACAACTGGGTTGGTTTTGAGATAGAACTGACCACAACTGTGTACATCCTATGTTCCCAGGCTCATCCCCCCCTGTTCTATTTGTTGCAGTGGTCAATGGGTATGACATGGGACCTGCCGGTCTGTCATCACCTGGAATGATGTCTCCTGGAGTGACAAGGCAATCAAAGAAGTGGGGGAGAGAAGGGGCCAATTTCTCCCCTCTTATTTGGCATCCCAGCCAATGTCACTCCAGGTGACAACAGACCAGCAGGTTCCATGTTGTGCGTTCTGACCACTGCGAGAAAAATGGAAAGGGGTGGAAAACATGGGTTTGGCATCACAAGACAGTCAGGACTCCCTCCCACCTCCACAGTGGCTGGGAGTAGTAGTGGTGAAAACCATCCCAGGGCTGATCTGGTGCCAGTGTAGACCACTCTTTGTCTCTAGAGCACCAGGAAATAAACGTGCTCCCTCCTCAATATGACATCCTTTCAAATACTTAAACATGGCTATCATGTCATTCCTCAACCTTCTCTTATCCAAGCTAAGCATACCCAAGAACCTTCTTAAATTCTGGTGGCTGGACAGAATTCTATGTGAGGTCTTACCAAAGCAAAATACCATTTTATTGCTTCTCTTGATCTGGACACTATACTCCTAACAATGAAGCCTAGAATCATAGGATCATAGGGTTCTTGTGGGCCATGCACTCCAACCCTGTGCCAAGAGACCTCATGGGCCATCCACTCCAGCCCTGTGCCAAGAAGGAGGAAAATCTCATTCAAAGCACTCCCGACAGATGGCCATATTGGCTTTTTAGAGTGCCACATTACATTGTTAACTCATGATCAGTTTGTGGTCCACTAAGACTAGATCTCTTTCACATGTACAATGGTCAAGCCAGGTATTATTCATCCTATATCTGTATATTTCATTTTTTTCTGCCTAAACATTCCAGATGTACATACCAGCCTTCAAGGGTTGACATTATTTGATGGAGCAGCTTCTGGAAAGAAATCTGGTAATGTCAGCCATAATCAGCTTGAGCAAATGAACAATCTTATACATCAAGAATTGGCAATGTGTGACAATGAGGTTTCATAAAGTCCCCAAGCTCTTGACTCCCCCAACTGTTCTTTTTATTCAAAAAATGTTGTTTCATTGAGCAACAATTTACCTTTAAAATAGGCTGTAGCCCCCCACTCACCCAACAGATTAAACATCCAAATACCAATTTTTCAAAACATTAAATCATTTTCAGGAATGGGGTGGGGGGTTGCCAGCTCATTTTACCCTTGGAGGGGCTGGAGGGCAGAGAAAGGTGTTGATTTCCTGCTTCCTAGGTAAGTTTTGAATTAGCAGCATGGAATGCACAGTGCTAATTTCAGCTATGATTCTCTATAGTCATGCAAACAGAAATGAGAAGAGAGAGAACAGGCTTTCCCTGGCCTTTGTTGTCAGACACATAATGAAAGGTTAGAAGTCTCAGCCTCCCCAGACACAGCTTTTTACCTTCTGATAGTGTAGCTCCATATTGGGTTTGTTAACTTCCCTGGGGTGGAAATGAGACCTTGCCACAGAAAAATGTGGCATTCAGCTTGAAACTGGAAGTTTCCTCTCCAAACAATTGAATTCTTATCTCAGTGACCTCAACATTCTCTGTAGCCATGAAGTAGAACCTCTGTTTAGATTTTAGATAATTAACAAACTTCAATACTTTTGCACACCAAGAAATATTGCATAGACTACTGCCCTTTCCCCCATCATTGTAAGACAACTGACCACATGTTATGATGGAGATTGAATCTGAGGGGCAATTTAAATGGAGATTTAAGGGGACAAATTGGACAAGGTGTTCAGGTTTTTAATCCTTTTGCCTATATCAGGGTTGTGCTGCTATATTGGCCCAGGTGTTTTGATACTACAATTCTCACAATACCTCCTTGTTAGCTATGCTGGACCAGGCTGTCTGCAGTTGAAGAAATAATTTCCTCACACATTGATTAATATTTTGGGTAGGGTTGAGCACCCCCTCCCCCCGGCTTTTGTTGTGGTATCCAGCCAAATGCATGCTTAGTGAGGTCCTCCTTAAATAGACCATGCCTATGGGAGTGGGGGTTTACCTTTTAAATAGCACACACACACACACACACACACACACACACACACACTATTTAACACAGAAATACCTGTTTTCTAAAACCAGAAGTGGCCCTGGGCCCCAAACTTCTGGTTTGCATCTCTCTTTTTTTGGCAGTTCATGCAGTACTTGAAAAGCCTCAGTAGCAGAATAT